CCCAAAGGGAATGGCGAGTTCATAATGTGCATTGACTACAGGGGTCTCAACAAGATCACTAGGAAGAGTACAGAGCCACTTCCTAGGATCGATGACCTTCTTGATATGGTGCAGGGCTGCACAGTGTTCATCAAAGTCGACCTCAAATCTGGCTACCACCAGATTGAGATGGTTGAGGAGGATGTCTACAAGACAACCTTCAAGACCAGGTATGGTACTTACGAGTTCTTGGTCATGCCATTCGGACTTTGCAACGCCCCAGGTACCTTCCAAACAGAGATGGACCGCATCTTCAGACCTTACCTGGACAAGGTTATGGTTGTCTACCTAGATGACATCCTGGTATTCAACAAAACTGCCAGGGAACATGTGGAGCACTTGGCTTTGGTCCTTCAGTCATTACGTGACAGCCAGTACAAGATCAACAGAGAGAAGTCCTCTTTTGGGGTTCCCTCTGTCATCTACCTGGGTCACGTAATCTCTGGAGATGGCCTGGCTCCTGAAGCAGCCAAGATTGTTGCTATTCAGGAGTGGCCTCAGACACAGACTGTGAGGGATGTCAGGTCCTTCATGGGTTTAGCCTCCTACTACAAAAAGTTTGTTAGGAACTTTTCTGCAGTGGTTGCACCCCTGACCAACCTAACAAAGAAAGACACTCCTTTTCTTTGGTCCCTCCACTGCCAGTTGGCCTTCACACGACTCACGAAGGCCTTGACTCGTGCACCTGTACTGAAGCTGCCTGACCCCACTCTGCCATTCATCCTCACCACTGACGCCAGTCAGTATGGCATTGGGGCAGTTCTTCAGCAAGATGATGGGAATGGTCTACGGCCTGTAGAGTTTATGAGTAAGAAGATCAAAACTCAAAAGCTCCAGGATTCCACCTACGAGAAAGAGCTATATGCTCTTGTCTGTGCCCTGAAACATTGGAAGCACTTTCTCCTGGGAAGACACTTCAAGATCTTCTCATATCACTCCACCTTACAGTGGATGAAGTCCCAGGGAGAGCTAAATGATAAGTTGGCACGGTACATTCAGTTCATAGACATGTTTGACTTTGAACTGAAACATAAGAAGGGCTGCTACAACAAGGTAGCAGACGCCCTCTCTCGTAGGCCTGACTCTTTTGCATTGATCTCCTCTACTCACTCCTTCAGAGAGGAGACCCGTCAGACCATTGCTCGTCTACTGCCTCAGGACCCGACTTTTGGACCCATAGTCAGGAATCTGCAAGCAGATCCTAACTTTGAACCAGGCTATTCTTTGAGTTTAGATTTGTTGTACACCTACAGCAAAGGGGAGGAGCGCTTGTGCATTCCCCAGGACCAGCGGCTCGGGACACTACTGATGTCAGAGTGCCATGATGCCCGTGGACATTTTGGGTTCCTAAAGTCATATGCATCCTTGTCGCAGCGCTTCTTCTGGAAGGAGATGCGAAGTGATATGTTGCGCTATGTGGAAACTTGCGAACTTTGCCAAAGGAATAAGGTCCAGCGTATGCCTCCTTTGGGATTGCTCAAACCTTTACCTATACCTGATGGCCCTGCTGAATCTGTGTCGACAGACTTCACAGATGTAGGCAAGACCACCCCTCCTGGCATGCGTCAGGTTATGGTCTGCGTGGACAGGTTCTCCAAATACGCAGAGTTCATCCCCTTGCCAGAAGTGGCCAGAGTTTTGGTTGTGAGAGCAACCTTTTCAGAGAGGTGGGTCACACACCATGGACCGCCCACTTCTATAGTCAGTGATAGAGACCCCCGATTTTGCAGCGATGAGTGTCAGTCCTACTGTAAGGACTATCTGCACTCACGATTGGACATGACTTCCGGTCATCATCCTGAAGCCAGTGGTCAGGCTGAAGTGATGGACCAAGTCCTATTCCAATTGCTGCGTCCTGTCATCTCTCCAGATCAACAGGACTGGGATCTTCACTTGGCTCGAGCACAGCTTGTGTATAACATGTCTGTCCATTTCTCGACTGGGTTCAGTCCATACCGATTGCACTGGGGACGTGAACCACGACAGCCTCTCGATGATATCATCGATAAGGCCAAGTCTGATCTGACTCCAAGTACCGCAGAGTTCACCAGACGCTACCACATAGATGTGGAAAGAGCACGGGCGAACTTGTTCAAAGCCCAAAAGGCGATGATTGAACAATCCAATCGCCACAGGCGGCCTTCCCCCATCCGCACTGGTGATCATGTCTAGGTAGCCAGTTCTGAGCTGTCGAGGGAGTAGGATATCTCCCCCAAGTTGTTGCCTCGTTACCTGGGTCCATGGCAGGTCTTAGATACAGTGGGCGCCGATCCTTTCGGTCCATCTTATGTTATCGACGTCCCGCTGCATCTACGAACCTATCCGGTCTTCCATGCATCTAAGCTGCTTCCATTCACTCCAGCTGTTGCATTCCCAGACCGGCCCCCTCAATTCGGTCCACCGATCCCTGGCAAGGGATATGACGTGGAATGGATTGAGGATGAGTGGGGCACAGGCCCCGACCGGCAGTATCTTGTGAGGTTCGCATTCCAACCTCCTTCTGAGAACAGATGGTTCTACAGAAGGGAACTTCTCAAGACAACAAAGTCAGTTGTTTTACGATATGAAGCGGCTCAAAAGGGCAACCTTCCTCGCCGTTCTCCTCGTCTGCATCCCTAGCTAGGAGGTCCTCGCTCCCCGGGGGGGTAAGCCTGCAATGACTTGCTGATTTCCACTGCCGAGACTGACTTGCGAGGTTGTACAGTGTGTTGTGTGCTTGCTGTGATTGTACAATATGCTGTGTATTTTGCTGTGTTTTTCTTGGCCTGCACTGAGGGCTGCCCGCTATTCTAAGAATAGCTGGGACTAACAGCAGTAGGGGCTGAGTGGTTACCGGCCCTAAGTGGCCCTGAGCCCTAAGTGCAGCAGTAGGACCGGTTTCGTATAGGCCGAGTAGGCCCTAACCGAACCGGTACCGGTAGGCCCTAGGCTAGAGTAGTGTAGAATCTACAAGTAGGATAGGGTAGGACTGTTTAGGACTTTTTGGCAGTTCATTTTCGCGATACAGCGTTTGGAGCCAAGGAGGTTTTGCAACGGCGATTGTCTGCAGGCGGTACCCTGAGACCCTCTCCGTGGACAGCAGCCATAGCCAGCCTGCTGAGGGCTTGCCATAGCTGGGGCATCCCCTGCGCATCAACCCTTGGGGGTTTCTGCGAGCGGCTGGGCTGTGTGGGGACTCTTCACTGAGTCTATGTGGGTGGCGGGAGCCATAGCTGCCGGTTCTTCGTCAGAGTTGTTCAGCGGCACTGAAGACTTCATCGCAGGATCTGTTCTTCATCTGGGTGGTTGGCGCTGGCCTCTGGGAGGCCATTCTGATGTGGCGCTACTAACTGGGTGTAGGGTAGAGAGTGGAGTGTGAGGTTCTGAGAGTGGCGAGATACTGGAACAAACTCTGTTACGATTTCTGGTTGATTGGCTCATCATCATGGTGTATTCCAATTGTTATCCTCGCAGGTTCTTTCTTGTGATTGGTTGTTGGGAGTTTGTCAGAGAGCGAGAAACACTGTATGTCTTCTCCCCATCTGTGCATGGCTGTGCTTCCGCTATCTACTCTGATCTGTGTGCAGTTTGGACTTTGTCTCCTCTCCCCCTCCTCTTATGTATGGGCGTGTATGAGAGAGTCTGTGTGTGAGTGGTGGTAGAAATCCTCAGACAACCAAGTTCATAACAAACAAAATAGACCAGGGGTCGAGCCCTGGCGGAGTCCGTAACAATATTAGCCTTCCGCTGCGCTATGTGAGAGAGGTCGATTCTTGTTCTGGTCTGTACCGTTACGGTATGCGGCATCAGATGAACATGAACATTCAACGCCCACTATTTCCACAGGAAGAGGGGAGGAGGGGAGGAGGGGAGAAAAACTACCCTCTTCCCGTGGAAACTCCAGCACCTATTGAAGTCTCAGTTACATATAGAGGGGTCACAAGAACCAAAGGGATTATTCCTCTCCTCAAAAGGACAACCCCCTGTCTGTTTACTGCCTCCGCGGGAAGTGCCCCCTCACCTCCCCGCCCCAGTTCAGAACAGCCCCCAAAATACACTCTTGCTCCCTCAGACGCATACAGTACCCCCTAAGGTATGGCCCCACAGAGCCGAAGATCCCCCTTCCCTCCTGCCCCGCACCCCCTCCAAGCAGAGAAGCCCTCTCGACTCTCACCTTGCTGACATCAGCACCCCTTGTCCTCTCYCCCCAACCGCCATAGCTGATCCGACCAAAGGATCAGCGTGGCCCAGAAGAGGACAAACCCGCAGTTCCACCCCTACCCTCTCAAAGATCACACCACCCACCTTGTACCCTATAAACCAGGCAGAAGTGTAATACTGGACATTTGATCATACATTCCCCTTTGCCCAAAATACCCCTTATCATCTCGTTCTAGTTCAAATGGGAGAAACCATTAAAAGCTTTAACCACCAGAACTAGCTCAGAGTAAACCCAGCTTCATGCTAAATTTGAACCAAACCATTGCAAATCCACCATCACAAGTTCCGAAAGAGGAAAGGTATCACAGAACAAATCAGGTGATCTCAAAAAAGCTCCTGGTTGAAGATCGAACCAGCTGTGGAAGAAGATATAATAGTCTCTCTTGAAACTCCATTTCCTTTCCCCCCTGGCCACTTCACTTCTCCCAGCTTCCCCTATGAACGTTCCCCCAGCCAAGTTGATTGAAATTTATTGAGTATCTTTTTGAAATCTTGCTTTTGAGTCCTTGTTTGAATAGTAGTTTTAGTTTTAGACCATTGGGCTCTAATTTCTGTCTGAACAAATTGAATGATTATGGCAAGTCACAGATGGTTTGAAATTTGAATGGTATGCAGTGACAGGAACTCATGAAATGAAATCAGCTCCTGAGCCCTAGCTACATATTCTCTGCGATGCATGAAGTTTTGCAAAAATTGTTGTCACGATTGTAATTGGTTTGACTTTCTGTGCTTTGTGTGTGCTTGTCCTTTGAGCTCATCAGGAAGGTTGCCTTCAATTACTTCAATGGATCAGTCCCATCATTGAGCTCTACTGTTACTCAGTCTGGCTGGTATGCCCCTACTTCTGAGGCCTGTTGAGTTTTTTTAACTGTTCTCTTTCAGTGGGATATTTAATAATTTTGGCTGCTTAGCCTCTTTTCATGTGCATTTGCGTTATCTTTGTCATGAATCTAAAACAAACTATTGAAGTTTTACTGTCCATGGGTGCCGAGCCAGCTGGTTATGGACCTTTTTTTTATCATTCGGTCGTGGTATCAATCGTCAAGATTCGTTCTAAAACTGTATGTTTTTACGAGCCACGCACACCCATGTGCACCCACGCACATCCACCACCACAGGCACACTCATGAACACACATCCATGCCCACCCACACCAATGCCCACAATGCCCACACACTGGCGAAGCCAGGGTTCGAACCCAGCCACGGATCTTGACGTACCAACTGCTTGATGGATGGAGCTGGGGTTTGAACCCAGGCACAGATCTTGAGGTACCAACTGAGCCATGAGTTAAAAAACAGCCCCTCCAAACCTAAATTGTCAAGCCTGAAAGGTGAAGCACCTGGGCCTGTTCTCGACCGGCAAGTTGGAAAATCTGAGGTGGTCCCCGGTACGAGCAGTGTGAGCGACAGAACGACAGGCAGGCAGGCATCATCATTGTCGCCTGTTCTCTTCAGACTTCTTCTTTTTTCTTTCCAGTGGAACAGAGCCAAGCATCCGCTGGTACACCCATGAACTGTTGAAACTTGAAACACAGACCTGAGTTCCAATCCAGATGTAACTAGCTGAATGATTCTGAATTACGTGCAGCCAGTCAGGCTCAGGACGATGTCTCAAGTCCATCACATCTTCCCTTAAATGCTCTTAAACCTCTTAAAGGAAACACGGGTCTCGTGTGGCTCTCCCACGCGAGACCCATCCACCCTGTGTTGGGGAAAACGTGGGGAACAGGGCCGGGCTTAATGGAACTGCAGGAAAAAGAAAGTGTCGTGGACAGGTGGGGGAGCACGCAGTCGAAGAGCTCAAATAACAGCCGTTTTTGCTGTTTTTATTTGGCGATGCCATGATTCACTGGGGCCTGATCATTCTTTTTTTTTCATTGCGGTTTGTCCGTCGCATACAGATGTTACAACACAGGCGAACAGCTCGAAGCAGCCTCAAAGAAAATGTAGGGGCGTAACAACGTGATTCGTTCAGCCGTTTTCCCTTTTTTTCCTCTGGGCACGCTGTCATTTGTTGGTGGTGTAACAACATCATTTGTTCAGCCGTTTTCTCTTCTGGCGTCGTGGGGCCAGGTTTCAGCACAGCCCAGCCATTTGGTGCTTCTGGGCGTATTCTTCCTCTTCCGTTCTCATGCTTGCACTGTCTTTGCCGGACAGTTCTCTCTATCGACGTAGCAAACCGGTGCCAGTGGGAAGAAGATATGAGACCGTTGGCACGCAGGTTACAAGCTTGAATCAGCCCCAAATTGCAACAAAAAGCTTAGAGTTGTCTTTTCCTAGTTTTTATGCAGACTCGCAGAGGATTTGAGCTCCGCTCCATTTATATCGAGTTTGGGTTTTGGAGGAGGAGGACAGACGGGAGGAGGAGGAGGAGAGGGAGGAAGAGGAAGCAGAGGAGGAGGAGGAGGAGGAGAGGGAGGAAGAGGAGGAGGAGGAGGAGGGATGAGAGGAGGAGGAGAGGGAGGAGGAGATGGAGGACAACCAACAGGAGGAAAAAGGGGGCTGAGCAGGAGGGGAAGCAGGATGTGTGGTGGAAGAGAAGTGAGATATGATCTGACAGACATATCTAGCCTAAGTGTTTAAAACATGGCAGAGGTGTTGTGTGCAGTAAACAGCCCAAAAATATCCTAATGCAATCATGTTGTCATGTCATCCAAAGTAATGGCATGCGATCTCAAGACCCTGAGCACATCCTAAGCACTCATTCATAACTATGTGGCAATATTTGCAGGCCTTGCCTCCATTCTTTATCTACTTGTCATGCAACCTAAACCTTGTGCCACCCTGTAAAAGTCCCTAAGTTCGGACCCCAGAAGCAGGCGGTTCACAACAGTCAAATTAATACACCCCTTTCCATACCTCCAAAAACTTCTTGCCCGCTGACTTGCAGGACACTTCACCTTTTACTGCAGGCAAATATTTTTTGTGGTTCTGGTGGTCTAAGTCTTGCATGACATCTGCTGCTGTCCATCGTGTTCAGATTCCCTTCCCAAACCTTCAAAACTCTATGTACCCTGGCTTCCGGGGGGGTTCATTTTTCTCTGCAAGTGCAGCTCTGTTGCAAGGAGAATGAGCCATGCGAAGTACAGAAACCAAATTGCATTATCTCATTGAAAGCCAGAAAGCCATGTGCTCATACAGAAAGTGGGATGCACCAAGAACACACCAAATAAGAGCAAAGCAAATGACAGTGTCAGCCCTTATCTTGCCTCCACAATCATTGTATCCAATACCGCTCTTGCAATAGGGCGCCTGGCGCCCAAACTACTATCAGACAGCACCTTAGTTCTAGCCTATCCAACTATGACGTCGACAGTCTTCATGATGTACAGCTGCCAGATGACGAATGGAGACTTCGACTTCACCCCCAGCACCAGGCATGTCTCTCCTCGCTGCCCAGATCCTCCTCTTCCACACTGTGCCCTCTCCCAAGGACCACCGCTTATCCCCCTTCCAGCGTCCACCAGGAAGCGGCCTGGCTATGGCCGCTGCCCACCAAGCTGCACCTAGACAGCTTCCTTGATGCGCCCAGCCAGCGCGTTCTTCTCCAGCTGAGCCAGCTTCACTGCGCGTGCCAGCGAGCATGCATAGCAGCAGCGCTTACGCATGAGCCTCCATGCCAGAATGTGCTTACTGCAGCCCAGCGCTCATCTTTGTGGAATGAGTGACTGGCCGGGGAGATGGTTAATGGAAGGCCCGAAATTCGGAGTTTTTTGTCGCATCACCACAATTAGTGTGGCCCGGTGTTGCATTTTTTCCAGTCACGCCGCTTCGGGCGACCAGAATTCCAACAGGCAGTCACGCAGGATTTTGATGATTGTTTGCAATAAATGATTGAATAAATTAAATAAGCAAATCCCTTCCTCTTGTGTGCGCCCGACTTCGAGCGAGACCCTTTGATTGCGGTCTTCACCAGTCCCCGGTCTTAGGAATCTTTTATTTTGATTCGGAACAGCAAAGATCATGTGGATAGTAATTATGAAACTTGGATGTGCCATGCATCTATCAATTCTACTAATTTACTAATTTTAAGAACTGTGACAAGATCATCAGGACGCATAATCATCAGCAAAGTCAGTACAAACGAAGCAAGACTGACTGACTCAAGAATTAGGCAAGGTAAGTGAGGGAAAAGTGAGAACTCGTAACAGTCTCAAAAAGTACAGATAAATAGACATGGCCAGCATTCGTCAAGAGTCCTCCCTCATCCTCCTAGTAACTCATCATCAACCGCTCACTTGGCTATGCGCCTTTTGTGCCTCGAGCCATGCCTATGTACCTCCTGAGATTGTGGCCTCTGGATGTAGAGCCACCTAAAACCCGCAAACTTCGAACATTTTTATCCAAGGCCCATGATACGAAGGTCAACCATAGCACAAAATTCCTCCCATAGTGTAGGGAGGTATGGCTGGGAGAAAATCCATCGTCTGAGCTGTCGAAACTCTGAGGGTACGGTCAAAGTCAACCATAGCACAAAATTCCTCTATGGCTGGGAGAAAATCCCTCGTCTGAGGTGTCGAAACTCTGAGGGTACGGTCACTGCCTCATAGTCAATCTCCACAGGAGAGATGTACCTCTTAGCTAGATCAACCAGATCACTCCAACAAAAACCATCAGTAAGAGGGAAAGGAACTGGAGGTCTGGGATAGTCTGTGTAGAGCTTGAGCCCAAAGCTTCGGATCAAGCTCTCTCTCTTTCTCCTCAAGATATTCTGCTGCTGAGGTCCAGACTGAGTCAAAGAGCTCATGGGTTTCTTTACCCTTCTTCAAATAGATTCTCAGGTCATGGATGATGCCTCCTGAAAACTCGGTGTGAACCACAAAGACTGGGAGATCCCGCTGTCTGAAAACCACTGCATTGGCATACGGACACTGGACGGCATCCTTGATGGCTATCTTGTTGAGACTGGCCATGACTGACTCACTAACCGGGGATGACTGAGTTGTACTCATGTGTTGATATGGATGCAGGGACTGATCTGAATGGGACTGATCTTTCGATAAAGGAGGAATTATGGGGTGCTCTCTATTGTCTCAATAACTGATTCTCTCTATTAAGGGCATAGGCTGGGTGATGCTGACATCTGCAGAATAACATGTTCAATGATGGTGTCTCTAGCGATTGTGGGCTGCTGTGTACCGAGTTATCGACAACTACTGTTTATTACTGGTTACCGGGGCGTGATTAAATGAGAACGAGTCCCGATCGAGAGTCACATGAAATGTCTTAGACGTTTAACAATTCCTAGGCACTTTAACGCCCATGAGCTACTGCCAACCGAGTGCGGGTGCAGTCTCTGCTGATTGACGCTTGTTACCAATCCCCTTGGTGAGACTCTTAAAAAGTGAAGGTTACTGTTTTCGGAGCTTAGCCTTAGCCTGTCCAATCGTCTCCAAGGAGGATCCCGTGCTATGTAGCTTCCTGTTACGATCGTGGAATTGGATGGCATATTCGATATATTTCCTCTCACCAATTCTATTAATTGCTCTTTCTCTCAGAACCGGCTTGCCGCGCTCCATGTCTTGAATTGCTTTTGTCTCCCAACCTTCATGCTTGTCTCGATTGATAATGCCCTTGACTACGAACACCTTTGCTTAACACCTTTGCTTCCCTCATGTTTTCCTATCTCCCCCCCCGAAGTCTGATTCTCGGAAAAGACGCAAGAATGATGGGACGAATGGTTTGTTGTCTGACGGGTTCTGCACCGAGATCATCAATATTTTTCCATCTCAGGTTTGCCAAGATCCCTCTCATCTCTTTTTTTGAAGATTCATGTGGCGTGTACCCATAAACCAACTGCCAGCGTTACTACAGTAGCCCTGTCTTCA